TTTCTATGAAATTTTAAATGGTCATTGTTTTTCGTTATGTAAAAAACGGTGCTCCAGTTGAAAGGTTTTGGACTTTTTTGCTTCCAGAAAAACATGATGCTGAAACCTTAGCTAACACAATTTTGAATGTTTTAGACCCAATATTAAAGAATAACAAAAATAAGCTCATTGCACAAAGTTATGACGGAGCAGCTGTTATGAGTGGGATACATGGCGGAGTGCAAACAATAATTAAGAGAAAATATGAAACTGCTCATTTTGTGCACTGTTACGCCCATCAATTGAATCTAATAATGTCAAGAGCATGTTCTATTAATTCCCAAGTACGCGTATTTTTTGGAGATTTACATGATATACCTGGATTTTTTAGTCATTCACCTCAAAGAATAGCTGTCTTAAATCAAATAGTTGGAAAAAATATTCCTCGTTCAATCCCTACACGCTGGAATTTCAATATTCGTACAGTAAATGTCGTTTACGAATATAGAGACTTTATTATTGAGTGTATGGAGCAACTAGAAGAAGAGTCAAATGCTATTACTTCCAAGGAAGCAAGAGGACTTAGACGTATTCTGGAAGATCAAAATTTTACTTTCTGGCTGACTGTTTTTCATTATATTATGCCACATGTTGACGTTTTGTACAATAATCTTCAAAAAAAGAACATGGACCCAACCGAAGCACAGAAAGCTATACATGTTTTTGAGCAAAGTATTAACAATGTCCGAAATAAAATAGACCCTATCATACATCAAGCTTCAAATTTAAATGCGGCGCCTAGTGTCCAAAAAAGGAAACGCCCAAATAACAGCCAACAGGATCACCGTATTGCCTGTCTAGAAGTTTGTGATGTTATTATAAACAATGCAAAAGAACGGTTTGCATATACAAATCATCTAGTTGCCGCAACACTTTTATCTTCAGAACATTTCGAAAAATATAATAATAAGTTTCCTGAAAATGAATTGGATTTAACTTGTACAGCTTATAACTTCTTTGATAAAAACCGTTTGCGAACAGAACTGTCAGTTTTGTATTCCAATATCGAGTGTAAAACATTAAAAGGTGCAGTGCCTTTACTAAAATTTATAATTTCTAATAATTTAGAGGACACATTAACAGAAACCAAAAAGTTGATACAAATTCTGGTGACTACGCCAATGACCACAGCAGAAGCTGAACGTAGTTTTTCAACTTTAAAACGGATCAAAACATTTTTAAGAAATTCAATGTGCGAAGACAGATTAACAGCCCTTTCCACACTCTCGATAGAAAAAAAGTTCATCGCTTCAATACCGAACTTTAACGATAAAGTAATCGAAAAGTTTGCGACAAAAAAGGACCGGCGTATTAATTTCCAATTTAGAAAAATGCAATAAATGTAAGTTAATCAGATTTTTATAGCATGTCGTTATTAGTTACTATTAATTAGTATTAAAGCTAATTTTATTGTTTTTGTTTTCGTATGTTATTCTATTTCTATTATTTTATATTGACCGTGGTTCATGCAGCACACCCTATAGCAGATGTCACGAGCCGCCACTGTTATCTATCTATCTAAATATCTTAAAGATTTGTTTGGTGATCGGAGAGCAGAAGGGCCCCCACAAATAGATACCGATGGAAAACTAAGTATTCTAGCCGAAGAAGTTATGCGGGCAATAAAAGACGCAAAGAACAACAAGGCACCCGGCGAAAATCTAAAAACAGCCGAACATTTTAAACACCTGAGTGATGATGCTGTCGGGAAATTAACCTACCTCTTTAACATTATATATGAACATGGCACTCTACCGCATGACTGGCTAACATCCACATATGTAGCTCTTCCTAAAAAACAAAAAGCAAGGAAATGTGAAGACCATCGAACTGTATCCCTAATGAGTCTTGCTGCTAAGATTTTTATGCGAGTAATTTATAACCGCATTCACAATAAGTGTGAAGAATACCTGAGTCGTTCTCAATATGATTTTAGGAAAGGTACAGGCACCAGAGAAGCAATAATGGGATTGACACTAATGGCAGAAAGGTATCTCGAGGTTCAAAAACAGCTGTATGTGTGCTTTGTCGATTATAAAAAGGCCTTCGACCGCATTAGACACGAAAAATTGATTGAGGTGCTAAAAGAAGTAGGGCTGGACGGACACGACATAGCTATAATAAGCAATACATACTGGAACCACACAGGATGTGTTCGAACAGACAACGGAAATACTAATTATGTAAACAGAACTTCTCTTGAAGATCGCCCTGAAGGTCCCAGAGTCAATGGAATCATCATTAACAATGTAAGATATGCCGATGACACCGTAGTATTAGCAGAAACAGAAGACCAACTAAAAATATCGATGAACATGCTATCAGAAGAAAGTCACAGACTAGGTTTGGATATTAATCTTTCCAAAACCAAAATCATGGTATTCCACAAGAACCCCCATGAACAAATTACACCCAACATACAAATCAATGGTATCAACCTTCAGGGCCCCCAAAGCTTCATATACCTGGGCAGAGAGCTAAACAGTCAGCTAGACCACTCAAAAGAAATTAGAAGACGTATTGAAATAGCAAGATCTGGCTTCATGAACATGCGTAAAATGCTCTGTAACCCCAAGCTATCAATCACAATAAGGTTAAGAACAATAAAGTGTTATGTGTGGTTTCTACTACTACCCAAACAGCACAAGTACGTCCCCTGGACGTCCCAGGGATGTTCACGGGGACGTACATAGTACATATACAGAACTTAATACGGACTTATATAGGACCTAAGAAGGATGTATTGGGGATATCTATTGTACGTCCACATGGACTAATATAGGTAGGACCTAAATGAGGATGTATACAAGACCTAAAGGGAACTTAAAATTAATAAAATGAAAAGCAAAAATAAATGGGATTTTTATTGTGTACTTATATTAACATATGTATTTAAATTTATAGTATTTTTTAAGCACATTACTCCTACTTACTTTACAAATGTAGCAACACACCACAACCACAAAAATTACCTATAAAAGTCCTATATACCTACTTAATGTCTATAATAATAAATTACCAAACTATAAACTAGTATCGAAAGCAATAAACTAATTCTAATTACAACCACAACCACAATGATTATAATTCGAGAAATAAACGAGATAAATAGAAGCGTCGTTAAAACATAACCACATTCTTCTTTTATCTCCTAATTTTTAAATTTCAGTTCCACTACAGAACAAAATTTTAGAGATACAGCTCTGCTATAGGATTTTTCTCTAAAAGGAGCCTCTGTCTGTTTTCGTATAAATTAATGGTATTTAAAACTAAATATAACTTTTTAAAATAAAGTTTAGTAGGAAGATTATATTTTGTAAAAAATATGCTTAAGTAAAAAAATGACACAGTTAACACCTAGAAAACGTCCCTAATACATCCCTAATGGGACGTCCCTTGGACGACCTTATGGGACGTCTCTGGTATGTCCGACTAGAAATATCCCTTGGACGTCCCTCGGAAGTCCAAAAGAAGTCCCGGGACGTTTGGACCTTAAAACGACATAAAATTGACGTCCCAGGGATGTCCTGTGCTGTCTGGGTATATGGCTGTGAGACCTGGACATTAAAACAGTATGACGTCAACAAACTGAATTCATTCGAAATGTGGATGTGCCGCCGAATGCTAAGAATAAGCTGGACCAGCAAAACTACAAATGAAGAGGTACTGGAAATAATGAACACACGACCTCATCTGGTTAATACAATCAAAATTAGAAAGACGTCATATCTAGGACACATAATGCGCCATAATGAATTTGAGCAGCTCCAGGTAATATTAGAAGGCAAAATCGAGGGTAAAAGTGGTATAGGAAGAAAGAAGAAATCCTGGCTCCGAAACATCAGAGATTGGACTCACACAACAGGAAATGACTTAATCCATCAAGTCCAGAACAGAGAGAAATTTGTCATATTGGTCGCCAACCTCAATAGAGAAGGCACTTAGGAGGAGGAGGAAGAAGTTGCTAAAAGGTAAACCAAAAGTTGTTCACATAAATCGTCTTGCACCTTATGCTGGCTCAAATGAAATAGAATAATCACGAAACCTTAAACATGATATCAAAGATGACCACCGACCACGCTTTAAGAAATTTATATTAAATTACGCAGAAAAAAAGAGTGCTAGATTCGGCCTAAGACCTTGAGATGACTACTTAAAGAAATCTCGTCCGTATTCAATTTGGACTAGTTGAAAAATCAGTAGCCTTAAGTTGGAAGAGTACTGCAATTAGAAGATGGTCCTTGATCTTCGCTTCGAAGCCTTACTTTAGCTTCCTCCGTGGTTATATGTTAGTTGTTGTCCTGGGTCATCAGGATCTTCTAACTCTATTGCCACAAATTGGTCGCATTGCTCATATATAGGTATATATTAGTTAACAATTCCGCAATATCTAATATGTTCTTTCTGTGATTTTCCGTGTTTGACTATGTTCTTCTTGCTGGTTGCTAGTGCTTGAAATAATCTGAAGTTTACTAAAAGTTAACCTTGGATATTTTGAATGTTTACTTCTCTTTCGGGATTTTGTTGTTTACTGTTTACTCTAAGTTGCTAAGAGTACTATTGAATGTTTGGTAACTCTTTGTTACAGTAATAAAATCGGTTTCAATAATTTACCCTATGGTAAGGGAGATACACATCGATTTAGAACTCGATGGAGATACATAATATTATATCGATCATCCTACCTTAATACATACAGCAATAGCGTTCTGTATATCTGGTTGCCTGTACTGAAAAATAAAAGATGTAAATTCATAGTTGGAAATTTTAAATATAGGAAACAATGATTTGCTTTTAGTGACCCATTTTTTTACATAATAATTCTTTACGGTATACTTATAATAGGATTTCACAACTAAACCAGTGATAGTTAAAACGGAATAAGAAGTATGACAGATTTTTTAAATGGTTTATCATAACAGCTTCAAATATCATAGTCATATATAGATAATAGAAGAAGAGTTTAGTTCAAAAAGATATGAAAATTTTAAATTAAGTATTTCATTTCAATATCTAAATCAGACAAAAAGTAAAAGTTTATACAGCAGTGCATTGTACATGAATTAAAAATTATTTATTTCAACAACATTTAGTATGTCTAGACTCGAAATATTAAAGTTGTATAAAACAATGCTAAAAGAATCAAGAAAAATTCCAGCTTATAATTTTAGGTAAATCTTAAAATACATTATATACCTACATCAAATTATTATACTATTAACATATATTCTTTTCTGATGTTGATACAGCCAGTTAACTACTGTTTGGTTGTAATGGGTGCTCTAAACTAATTATTGTCTGATGTTTCTGTGTAGTTTGTTCCTATTTTGTGAGAAATGGCTTTGTACTTGTTTTTTTTTTTTATTAAAAACGCGTTACTTTGTTCATTAAATTAGAGTGTTAGAGAGAATTAAAGGAGTCAGATTATTTTCATTCTTTCTTTAAAACCATCTTTTCCTTTTATTATTTTGTTCTTCCATCTGAAAAACATTTATGATTACTTTCACCTACTCCTTATGCTTGGCTCCTTATGCTTGGTCATTTCTTTAAAAGTCGAAATTTTTTGGATCGTTTTCTGAATGCTGAAATGTTACAGTATTATTATATTTTTAGGGAATATGCTTTAAGAAGAGTAAGAGATGCTTTTAAAGAAAATAAATCAATATCAAATAACCAAATAGGAGTACTAATTGAAAAGGCAGAAAAAAATTTAGAAACAATAAGGAGACAGGTACTTAATAATAGATACATAAATAGTTTAATTTTTATTTTTATGATATTCTTCTGTAATAATCCATAAAATTATGTGTACTAGCCTATTGAGGCCAACGAGAAAGTCAGGTGGTGATGAGACTGTCATTTTGTGTTGCACTTGTAGTAGTCGATCATACAAAATTTCTATTCTATGTGTGTGATGTTGAGATTACATGTGTACCTTTTTAGTTAAAAAATAAATAAGGCAACAAGAGATTTCCTAATTTATTTAATAAGTTTTACCCATTTTTAAAATCATCAAATCTCTCTACTCTGTACAAAAAATTTTAAATAGTGTCAGTATTTGATTATTAACTGTTAAGTTAATTAACTTGTAACATACTTATATATTGATGAATTTTACTTTACTTACTGGTTATTGTACAATGATTTTTACTAAGTGCTCAACATTCTTTTTATCTAATTTCCATTTAAAATATGTCCTATTTTTAAAACCTACTGTCTTTATACAACATGAAACAAGAAGAAATAATACTAATGACAACTGTTTCATATGTTTAAGAAGGGTAATTCTAACCAGTGTTGCTATATACAAAATATTTAATCTTAGAAAAAAAAAACAGATTTTTCATTAAATATTTTAATATTTTATTCTTACCTACTTTTAAACAAATATTGGTTTGTTAGCAGGTTTAGGTTAGATTTGTTTTGATTAGGTTAGGTTTGGTCATATTGGGTTAGACTACTTTTAACAAGATATGACTGGTTTGTTAGCAGTTTTAAGTAAGATATGGTTAGGTTAGATTTAGTTACATTCATAGACATATAATACAAATAGACTGAGCACTGAAACACAGGCTGTTTCCAGTGCAACAGAGAAAATGGAAGCAATGCAGTCCCTGCATCTCTTTCTTATGAGCCGGGTTATCACCTATGCGACCTTCCCATCATCACTTGTGTTTGGAGTGGGAAGGTCAGGTCGGCAATAAAACTAATCTATTAGAAAGAGATGCAGAGACTACTTTATGTCTGTTTTCTGTATAGAAATGGGGGAACAGTTATGTATTGTCTTGTATTGTCTATCATTATCCTTAGATTACATTACATTTCTTTCAAATTAAATTTTTAGATCTTCTGAAAGGTAAAAGTGGCAACAATGTCGAATATACAAATAATTTTTATTTGTGGGCACATCCGCCACATTGATTTGAAAGACTATTATGATTACATTAAACAATATTATGTATTTTTACACAAAGTAATATTGAAAATAACTGATATATATATATATATATATATATATATATATATATATATAATATATATATATATATATATATATATATATATGTATATATCTTTTAATAACATTTGTTATGATTAAGACAATTACAGCAAAACACAGAATAATAATTCAGGTAATAAATTATAATTAGCAAAAGTCAAAACTCATCACAATAATTTATAAAAATAACATAAAATGCAACATGATGTATGCACAGCATACATCATCTGAAATAAGACTTAGTTGTTCATGTGAATCTTAAGCACCATTAAGACTGTCTTTTTCGTTAGCCTCATTACCCCATATAGTAAATAACTATTAGATTTTTACTGTTTTTTTTTTCTGTTCTAGGCAATTATAGGACAGCTTTATGCAGTTGATAAATTGGTAATAGAACATGAGTTGCAGAAATAGATTTTAATAATAGTTGTAGTTTAGGTAGTATAATGTGAAATGTTAAATTTTAACGTTTATGATATTAATAGATTTTTAAATATCAAAGAGACATGTTTACTGTCACCAATTTCCTTATAGTTAATTTCTCTTAAAGAAATATATATAATTGTATTTATATTTCTTTAGAACTCTGTATTGCTTAATCCATTCCACTACAATGTACATTTAAGTACATATTACTGTTTGTTACAATGTTAAATATATTATTTCTTAAAAAAATATAGAAATTGTAAACATTACTTTGACCAGTAGTTATACTTTTGACTCAGATCCCTTTATGAATAATTTTCAAACTAAATTTCATCATCATCATTATGGCTTTACAACCCTGGATGGGTCCTAGCCCCCCCAACAATATTTCTCCAGTAGTCACTATCCATTGCCTTCCTCTGCCAAGCATGTATTTTCATATTTCTCATGTCTTCATCAATGTTATCAAAGAACCTTGTTCTAGATCTTACTCTTCTTCTTTGACCAATGGGTCTATCAAAGAGCATTTTTCTGGCTGGATCATTTTAATCTATCCGCATTACCCACCTCAGATGTCCTATCTTTTTTTTTGAATTTAGGTGTCTCAACGACGAGGTCATTGACATGATGACAGTATAATACAATATAAGGGTATTACAAATACAATTTTACATTGACAATACACAGTACATTATACACAATACTTATTTTTTTACAAATTTAACTGTTATACATAATTAAAATTCAGAGTTTATAAAGCACTTGAATGTCTTTTAAATATTTAGACAGGCTTGCAAATTTTTCAATTTCACTCAACATTTCTTGTATATTGCCTCCCAACTGGTGTTGTTTTCTTTTAGTAGAAAGATGTGGACATTCTTTAAGGATATGCTTGACGGTTAAGGCACTGCTTCAATGTCTGCATGCAGGTGAATCAGTAGATGCCATGTGTAAGACGAGTATGTCCAATTCTTAATCTTCTTAGAATAACCTTGTGTCTTCTAGGCATTGGTGGTAGTTGTAAGAAAGGTATGACTGGTTGTATTCTAGATCTTGTAAGTGACTCTGAGTTGTGTTCTAATTAGCTTGCCATTTGTCATATATACGCTTTTTAACTCTTTATTTGGAGCAGGTGTGCTAAGAATCTCCCGATCAGCTAGAAACATCAACACATTTTCTAAAGAAAGAAAAATAGGTACATGGAATGTAAGAAGCATGTACGAACCAGAAAAAATTCACAACACCATTAAAGAAATGAAGCTTCTAAATATAAGTATCCTTGGAATAAGTGAAATGAGATGGCCAGGGTCTGGAAAAGTAGCTGTAGATGATCACATTGTATACTATTCAGGAGAAGACAGCTCAAAACACAAAAATGGTGTAGCAATAATTGTATCGAAGGAAACAGATAAAGCTGTAAAAAACGTCGTCCTATTCTCAGACAGGATACTGATGATACAAATTCAATCAACAACAATCATTATAAACATATTACAATTATATGCACCAACACAAGACTATGAACAAGAAGAGATTGAAAAATTCTATCATGATTTAAAAAAAGTATTAGCACCTACAAAGAAACACGATCTGAATATTATCATGTGAGATTTTAATGCAAAGATTGGTGAAGGTGAACAGGAAGATATAGGAAAATATGGTCTGGGAATACGAAATGAAAGAGGCGATAAGTTGTCATCTTTTTGTGTAGAAAAGCAATTAGTAATAACAAACACAATTTTCAAACTTCCAAAACGTCGTCTTTACACCTGGAAATCACCAGCAGATACACATGAACGAGTTATTCGTAACCAAATAGACTTCATATGTATAAATAAGAGATACAAAAATGCAGTATTAGCAGTAAAAACATATCCAGGCGTAGATGTACCAACAGATCACAATATTTTAGTAGGAAAAATAAGACTGAGATTAAAAAGAGTTGCAAGGACGAATAAGCAAACAGTTACCATTGATAGAGAAAAGATGTTAAATGATACTGTAAAACAAGAAATAACTAGTATATTAGAACAAAAAATGAAGTTAACATCAAGCAAAGAGGAAAGTACTGAGGAAAACTGGACGAGAATTAAAGACATCTTGAAGACTGTTTAAGAAACAAAATTGAGTGCGCTAAAAGCAAGAAAAAAACAAGAGTGGATGACAGAAGAAATACTGAGACTTATGGATCAAAGAAGATAAGTCAGAAATACAGATAAAAACGAATACGAGAGGATCCACGCAATAATCAGGCAGAACATAAAACACGCGAAAACACAATTTCATAGTAAAAGAATGTAATGAAATTGAACAATATGAAAAGAAACATGACACATTTCATCTGCACATGAAATTAAAAGAGGTCCTCTGGAAACAAACGGAAACAAGTATCATAAAGTTTAGAAGACAGAAACGGACACAGAATATTAGGCATCAATGAGCAGTTAAAAGAATAGGAAAACTACATTTCTGAATTATTTGAAGATGAGAGAGTAGAACAGTATACACCGATTGATATATCAGGTTCATCTATAAGAGAAAGTGAGGTTACACGTTCAATACAAATAGCAAAAAATGGAAATGCACTTGGTTCCGATGACGTAAGTGCTGAAGTACCAAAGTTTTTGGGAGAAAATGGAATTAAAGCTCTGTGTAATCTCTTTAACAGAATTTATGACACTGGGATATTACCAACTAATTTGTTAAAGTCATTTGACACAATACCTAAGAAACATCGTCCAAAGACGTGCGGTGATTATCGGACAATAAGTCTGATGAGTCACGTTGTGAAGATCTTCCTGCGAGTAATACACAGCAGAATTTACACGCTGTTAGGTGACAGAATTAGCAATTCTCAATTTGGGTTTAGGAGTGGCTTGGGTACAAGAGAGGCCTTGTTTAGTATACAGGTGCTAGTACAGAGATGTACAAAGTATGTACATTTGTGCAATCGATTTTGAAAAAGGTTTTTGACAAAGTCCGACATAACAAAATGCTAGAAATGTTGGAAATAGCTGGATTGGACGATAAAGATCTACGAATAATTACAAATCTATACTGGCATCAAGTGGCAAGAATAAAGGTTGAACAAGAACTGTCGGATGAAATAAATATAAAAAGAGGAGTGAGACAATGCTGCATATTGTCGCCTTTACTTTTTAACTTATATTCAGAGGAAATATTTAAGGAAGCCTTATTGGAGACAACCGAAGGTATTATTGTGAATGGAGTAACCGTCAACAATATTAGATATGCCGACGATACCATAGTGCCTGCTAATTGTGGAGAAAACCTTGAAAATCTAATGAACAAAATAAAACAGACTTATGATCAGTATTGATTAAAACTCAACGTTAAGAAAACTAAATATATGATAGTTAGCAAACAAAATTATATACAGGATGACGATATAAAAGTCGGAGATGCCATACTGGACAGAGTAGAGAAACTTGTGTATCTCGGCAGTAATACAAATTAGGGCTGGTATCCAACCGCAGAAATTAAAAGCCGAATAGAACAATCCCGAGTAGACATCTTGCTACATTTTTCCTGTCCTGCTGTATGGAGTGTAAGCGTGGACTCTATGAGGCTATCCTTAACCGCTTGACAGCCTTTGAGATGTGGGTATACAGACAACTGCTGAAAATAAGCTGGGTCGACAGAGTTAGAAATGAGGAGGTCCTTAGACAACTGAACCAAACAACACAACTGGTCAGTATAATAAAGAAAGGCAAGCTGGAATACTTCGGTCACGTTATGAGACACCCTGAACAATTTGATCTTTTACATCTTATCATTCAGGGAAAGATCCAAGGTAATCGTGGTCCTGGTAACAGAAGAACATCATGGCTGAAAAATCTAAGGCATTGGTATAGAAAATCAACTACATCGTTATTTGAAGCTGCTGTCAATAAAGTCACGATAGCGAATATGGTAGCCAACATGATATCCAACGATCGATAACGGTCATGAAACTAGAAGAAGAAGAAGAACGATTCTCAACACAGAACGACCTTTACACGTTCAGACATAGTCTTCGCGTTAGTACTTGTCTTCCTAAACATCCTAACATGTTTTCATTACTTTTTGTTAGAGTCTAGGTCTCTGAACCATATGATTGGACTGGGTGTGTTATTATTTTGAAGAGTTTTACCTTTGTATTTCTTGATATAATTGAGGATTTAAGGAGATTGCGTACTTATTTTCTTTTCTCCCAGCAACATTGATATCATCAGCATATGCAAGGATTTGTTATATATCGAACAGTTGGTTGTAATTTGTGACATACATATTACTTTTTCCAGAGCCAGGTTGACCGGTATACAGGAGAGAAGGTCTCCTTGGCGTAGCCCGTTATTTGTTTTAAAAGGTTCAGACAGTTCCCCTGGATCTGTACTCTTTAACTTTTTCGAGTTATTTTTGTTAAATGTACCAATTGATTTGGTACTTCTAGTTCTTTCATTGCTTTGAACATTTCTCTTGACAGAGTCGTAGGCTGCTTTGTAGTCTATAAATACAGGAGAAGTGTCTATGCCATATTCGTGTTTTTTCTAAAATTTGTCCCAGGGTTCAACCTGATAAACTGTCGATATGTGAAACCAGCCTAGTAATTTCCTACGTTCTGAGTGGGCGCAGTGATCTTGTTCTTGTCATATTTGTGAGAATGAATTCTGGATTAAAACAGTTGACTGGTTTGCCCAATGACACCTTCACAGTTAGTACATAGTATCTCATAAACAAAATATTGGGTTTTTTCTCCCTCTATATCTAGAAGTTCTCCCATAATCCCTCTTGGTATTCCACACTTCATATATTCCAAGCATTGTTACTTTGTAGCCATAATATGAAGTCATGAGATTCATTTTATGTTCGTACGTAGGCAGCTTCTTAAGTTGGGATCTGTGGTGCACCCAGGGGGGGTTTTGGGGATTAACCACCATCCCCCCCCCCCCATGGAATAAAAGTAATAAAGAATGGTAGGAAAATGTAACTTGTCTTTCACACAGAATACAAAAATTCCAAAACGCTAATTGAATAATTAAATTACCACTTTAAATATGTAGAACACAATAATTATTGTATAAATACACAATAATTAATAATATTTTTCATTATATTTAGATATAGATATCTATTAGGCTTATGACAAAAGTAGACAGAACGAGTCTATTACGAGTAGCATGCGCCTTCAGGACTGTATCTGCGGCGGCCTTGTGGACTATCACAGATTGTGTTCCTCTGAAGAAAACAGAATATTTAGTTATCAATTCAGATGCAAGGTGTGAAGTGTTGATAGACGAGGACGTGGAAATCAAACAAGTGGAAAAATTTTAATATTTAGGTGAACTCATTGATAAAAACGGCTTGTGAGAAACTGAAATTAAACACCAAATTAATCAGAAACGTAAAATTGTAGGATTTCTGAACTCCTTATGGTGGGTTCGCAACATTTCCAAAAGAAACAAAAAAAGAATATGGCAAACCATGGTTGAATCAGTTCTTTGTTATCGCTCTGAAGTATGGACAATTAATACAGACCTGAAGAGAAGATCGTTGGCAGTTGAAATGAATTATTTGGCGGAGGAGAACAGGAATACGGCGATAGACGTCTCCAAATGTATTGTTTTACAAGTTGGATTAATGTCAAACGTCAATAAACTTGTTTTAACATTCAATTGTGGTTTAATCCCATTAAAATAGTAATTACTTCAAAATGCCACAAAAAAATACCTTCAGAACAATAGATAAGTTCTAGATAAGAGAAGGGAGTGTTCCAAAAATGTCGTCATCCTTACAGTGGCCACACCACTTTCGGAGTACGGAACGTGCGACAGTCAAGTGCGCACAAGAGACGGTGGTTTTAGTTGGTAGGCAGGATAATAGATACCTGAATCTTTGGCACTGCTATCTTTAGTACTTTAAATTAAATTAAAACCCAAATTTCAGGGACTCAAAATGGAGGTACCCTATTAAAAGGGTTAAAACCACAGACAAATTATGGATGCGCCACTGGTTGGAATATATTTCTGACTTCTCTTGATTAAAATTGGTACTACTTGTTCTTTTTTTAAATCGGTTGTAAAAGTAGTCGTATCCTCCCAAATTTTCGGATCTTTGTACTTTTTTTTGTTTCGGTTTTTGTACGCGTTATCAAATATATTTCTTGTGTAAATTGTACCTCCTAATTGTATATTACTATATAATAAAGAGTAACGTAGCAAAAATTACGTTTATTAAAACAAAAAAGTTAACATATTTATATATTTATAAATTAATGATTTAATTAATACCAATACGATTTTGGTGGAATTCTGTCCTCTTTTATACCCATTTTCTCCATAATATCCATTTCGAATGTCTTTAATTCCGGCTTAAATGTAATTTCACTGGCAACATCAGCGACTGTATCCTTCGGCTGTTCTTTATATGTGGCTTTTGATTTATAATCATATGTCTCTTCCATAGAAGGAGGCATTGGTATAATACGGCCAGTTCTTGTTGAAACTCTTACTCGTTCTCCCTCGTCTGTGTATCTCCATTCAATGGTGGTTGGAGTTAGATCTGAAGGGTCCACTAAAACTATTTCAGATGTCACCAGTAGTGGTTTTTCTGATTTTACCCATACACCTTGGAATTCTTTGTCATCGCCAATTTGTTTTAATTCACAATTCAGGCCTTCAACTATTACCCAATTTCTTTCTTGTATTATTTCTTTTATAATTCCTTGCTTTCCTTTATCTTTTCCTAAAAAATAAAAAGTATTTTTATTTATTTGCTTTATAGGTCTAGCACACAATGATTAGAATTAGTCAATTTTGTAATTCAGATTAATACTTTTCATTGCAAACAGGGTTGGCAAACACCAAATTTTTTTAAAATTCCAAAAAAAACAGGTTTATTGGTTTAAATCTGGTTTATTTGATACAAAGTATTAAAAGTCTAAATACTTGATTAAATGAATGAAATATTTATAAAATAATAGTAATAAACAATGATTAAGACAACTTTTATTTTTATTTACATAAAACAATTAATATAACAAAAAAAACATCAAACGTAAAAATACTCAAAATAATTAAGATTAAAAACACAAAAATATGATTTATCTTCATTTTAAGCAGATGTATTAAACACTAAATAAAACAACCAATTTGGAGGCTTTTGCTGTACCCAACCCGTTTCTAAGTTTCGACTACACTAGCCCAAAGGAAGAAAAAATTCTTCAACGCCAGCTGAAAACGCTTTGGCTGTGTGAAGTTGTTTATTAACATTAATGATGTTAGTGTCAACATTTTTATAGCTTTTACACCACTCAATCGGTGTCACTTTTGAAGTGACACTGTTTAAAAAAAAATGTTTTTGAAAAGGTACACTTTTTGACTGAAACTTTACAATTATTGGTAAAACGTCAATTTTGGGATACTTTTCTTTCTGTCGTTGCCATTTCATATTGACTTTCGAATTTTCTTATACACTTCTGTGCCAATATTTCTAAACTTGTTTTCAAGCTCCGTCAATACACGTACAAAATCACTAATTGTAGATGTATTACTTTGTACTGTATCAAGTGGTACAGAAATGGTTTAAGTAGTAAAAGCAACACTTCTTCACTTCTTTTAATTCCCTACTTTAGCCTATATATCTTTGTCTATGGTCTGCCTATTTTCTTCACAAATTTTAAGAAATGTTGACCAACCTTTAATATAAGATTCCAGACAATCGCACATTGTATTCCATCGAACTTCAATGGGAACATTTAATTTAAAGATTTGCGGTAACATGCATTTGCAAAATGATTATTACGAAAGTATTTAACAATACTAACTACGTGTTTAGTAATATTGGTATTGGATGATTGGCAGTCGTTAGCCAGAAGGTTTAAAATATGCGCAGAACAGCCGTATGTAATAATATCAAGATCTAACCGCTTCTCTAGTAGGAAACGAGTTTTTTTTACTTAGCAACATTATTTGTAACTACTGAGCAAACTTTGCATTTTAATTCGCCCTCACACTTTTTAATGCTATCATATGTGTAATTGAATCAAGGTAATCTGCAGTCTGAGCATAGCCTGACGTATCAAAAGTTTCCCATAAATGAACTTTACCAGGTTTGTGGTAACTGTAAAACACACTATAGGATCGTTATGGACATTCGACCAACCATCAAAACCTAAGCAAACAACTTCATTTGGTATAAAATCGCGAAATTTTTGCAGTTCTTCATCATAAATATTTCAAACAAGTGTACGCTTATATCTCTTCGACTAGGTGGCTTGTAACCAGGTCGAAATTCTTCTATGAAACGAATAAACTGTGGACGATCAACATGTTTAAATGGCGAATTTGTAGAAAATGTATAACGTGCTATTTGCCTGTCTAGAACCTCCTTTTGGTTTGTACTTTTTTGATAAGAAAGGATTCTACAGAACTTTCAGTTTTGCATCTTTTTCGATTTTGAGCTACTAGTTGAGATGATAGGGAATTAGAAGAAGTATTTGGTGGACATCATTGCATCTCTGTCTTCAGTGCCTGCACTATCGTTTAGTCCCATTAGAAGTCACAGTTTCTTGAGTATCTGGAAACAAGAAATATTTTTTTACGAAACAAAGAAGTTTTTAATAGGGCTTAAAGAAACAAAAAATAAGGCATGAGAAGCTTCTAGTTCCTTATACTTTTATAAAAACTTATTTAATAGATTCGCAAAAACATAATACACAAAAATGGGGACGAACAATAGAAACAATTAATACTCAATTATAAATTTATAAATATGGTATTAAAAAACAAGATCTTTGTTTTATTTCTTCTTGTCATGCTTGTCATCTTAAATGTTAAAAATGAAGGAAAAAAAATTTGTTTAATTTACTGTTTGTATTTTGAGAACGATTTCCGAAGTGGAAATTGAAACGTCAATAAACGTATTTTTATCTTTAATTGTGGCTTATTCCCAGTTTAACAGTAACTAATCAAAATTCTTGTGATCACATCACAAGTTAAATTTTAAATAACTGTGACATTGTTCAAAATTTGTACCAAGTGAAGAAATAGGCCAATATAAAAGCTAGATAATACAACGGTTCGTGTATAAAAATGTAAAAAGATGATATTGTTAAGTATTAATGTGCCATGTTAATTTAATAATGGTCATTTAAATAGTACAGGAAGAAAGTATGAAAATACAGTGCAATTTAAAGATTTTTCTTACCTTCAATGACATCCTCATTATCATTATTTCCAGAAGAACATTTGATTAAGTGCTTCTTCCTTTTTGATAAGTGACCCTCTAAAGTTATCCCACCTCTTTTTACACTTTGCTCCTTCACCTTTTCTGCTGCTAAGTTTAATACTTTCAAAGGAATTCCATACTAAGTCTTGTCTTCATCCACTTAAACCTGACATTTTCTCTTCTTTCCAATTTAATAATTACTACACAAGCGTTTATAAAAATAGTAAAATAACTAAAATAAGTACTAAGTGCCAAGTCAAAACCATAAACTATTATGCTGGAATCACAGAAGATCAACTTGGGAATCCCTGAGCCAATTGATCGCCGCACCAACACTGACAGTGAACGATGCTATGGGGGACCACCTTGCTGAATAATAATAAAATACAATAGAAATATTTAAAAGGGATCTCCATCAGGACCGGTCCTGAATTAGTATATTTTTATTCAGATAACAAAATGAAGAAAAATTTAAATACATATTACTATAAATATAGGATAAAATTATATTGTTTTAATTAATAGAATAACTTAAAATACATTAATATAAAAATTGAATCATTAAATTTGTATTTGTAGTTTGTTTAGCTGTAGTTTTCATTATTAGGATAATATCAACATAGAGAAAAAAAATACAATAAAAAACCATGGTTGAAACCTGACAAGCCTGATTGCAAACAATTTTTACCCTCATTTTAGTGTATTATTTTATACCACTTTGTGCAAGGTAAAGGTTTTAAAGTATGGTCTGGTCTGGGTCTGGTTTTAAGATTGTCTGCATAATAATTTAGGAAGTCTAACCTTATTAAGCCATTGAAATTAAACTTTGTAAGGATAACCTTGAGTAAAAGGAATGACAGATTCTATAATTAGCTGTTTCTCATTGGTAATAGCTTGAATAGTAACTTTCTCAGTAATCTATTAGAATAATTTTGCGCCGTGTTTTCATTAAAAACAGTAATTCTAATACCCATATCAATTAAAAGTGGAAAAATATTGGTGTCATTAAGGTAATAAATTTTTTAGAAGTCATTGTATGAAATTGGCTTACAGGAATACTTGTTCAAGGAAATTAGGATTCGGATCGAAGTTGGCATCTAAATTAAGTTTGTAAATTTGTTCTTGGATATTCACATTCCACAATATCTGTCGCGTTCTATCACGTTACCATTGACAATCAATGATAACGTGATAGAACAAGTAAAAAAATATCAGTATTTGGGAACTTTGATCAATCAAACCAATAATCACACTAAGGACGAATAGAGATTGCCAGATCAGCATTTATTCAAATGAAGCCACTCCTAATGTGCAAAAATCTAAATGTGGAGATCAGACTACGTACCATTCGCTGTTATATATTTTCATTATTATTGCTAAGACTTGGACATTAAAAAAATGTAATTTAAAAGGAATCAAGGCCTTCGAACTCTGGTTATATCACTGAGTATTGAAAATATCATGGACTGATAGAATTACAAATAAAGAAGTACTGGAGAGGGTTGGTAAAGAAACAGAACTAAATCACCACTATACAAACCAGAAAACTGGAATACCTAGTCCATGTGATGAAGGGACCAAAATATGAAATTTTGAGACTAATAATACAGGGAAAGATTCAAGGAAGAAGATCTGTTGGCCGAAAGCAGAACTCATGGTCAAAGAATCTACGTGATTGGTATCAATGCAGATCAATTGATTTGTTTAGAGCAGCAAGTTCTAAAATAAAAATAGCCATTACGATTGCCAACCTCCTTAGGGAGACAGCACTCTAGGAAGAAGAAGAATATCTGTCGAAAGGTTCCTATGATCTGAGGATGGTTTTGATTGGAAACTGAAACAAAAGCTTGGGTATTATCAGAATTATTGTAGTACTTAGTAATCGGTGCCTTGATTATTTTCAGTATAATTATCTGAAAAATAATTTTTTGTAAATTCTTACATTCTTAAAAACAAAAGATATCCACAGCATCTTAAGACCAAAGTATACAATCAATGCATACTCCCTGTTCTTACTTATGGTTCCCAAATGTGGACATTTACAAAATACAATAAGGACAAAATCATGAAAACCCAAAGAGCAATAGAAAGACAAATGTTGCACATAAGACTAATGGATAAAAAGAGAAAAGAGTGGATAAGAGAGAAAACAAAAGTGAGGGATGTTAGACAAGAAGTTGCAAAATTGAAATGGAGATTTGCTGGACACAATATAAGACAAAAAGAAGACAGGTGGACCAAAGAAGGCTAATTAGATAGAATTAGATAAACTGGTAAGGATATTCATTAAAAAAGTGAGTTATTTAGAAATTAGAATTATTCTGAATAACAGACAGACCATTCTGATTTTAAGATGTAAAATAAGCTCTTTGTGGGCTTAAAACACCCCGCACTAAACTTATGGAAAAATGCCCTTGGTTAAAACTGCCTAAACTTTGTCATATTGTAGTATTTGATGTGTCGAACAAAAGTCTTCATGGACATGAGACCTAAAAACCAACACTTGGGGATGCTAAAGGCCGTCAAAGTTGTGGTGTTTGTGTGTGGGTTAACGTTATAATGTTCTTATTAGTAGTGTGTAAGTGTGCCTAAGTATAAAGGGAAGTGTATTCACATGGATATGATATTGTGAGCATGTGTATGTGCATTATTTTTAAGTGTGAGCGTAAGTTTCAAAATCTAAAACAGTCTTCCTCAATACATAAAGACAGATATTTACGAAAACCAACATTTTTTGTAGCTCTGGGTGGATATACACTAACAATATTGGACCATACTTTTCAGATTCATGTAAAAATTATGTTGATGTTGCAATTCCCAATGCTGAATTTGAAGGTGATATTAAAAGACTGGTTTCAAAATGATGACATAATGTTAGCAAATAGACAGCCGTATTCACCAACAATTTTTAAAATTTAAGCGTTTCCTAAGAGAGGATAAGTATCACCTAATACTAATTTGGTATTCACCAACCCTTAAGAATCTCTTATATCGTTAAGAATTTCCTAACATTTAGGCAACCGATATTTCGCTTCCTAACAGTTTAGGCGTTTCTTTACCAACTAATTGACAGTTATTCATATAGGTAACCTAAAAGTTTTTTGTGTGGTGTATAAATTATTATAATTCAATTATACAGTATAATCATTGTTTTTTATTTTATTATGGAAGCAATTGAATTGTTAGAAATGTTGGACAATTTGGATGATAATTCTGAGGATGCAAGACGTCCGCGAATTCTAAAACGGCGAAAAAATTTATTTGAATAATACGATAATCTGGATTTTTTTTGACGTTTTACAATTAAAAAAACTACAGCATTGTTGATTTTACAACAAATTGAAAATTTTTTTATTTGCGGTTAGAAACTACAAATAATTTCTTCTTTTCCTGCCAGAAGTAAGGTATTTGGCCACCTTTTACCATAATTTAGTTAGGTTTTTCGTTATTCTCCGAAATTCTGTTGGCATTACGCACAAAATATATAATGTTGCCAGATTTACTACTTCCTAACAAAGTGTTTCCTAGTTAAGCAACGCTTTTGTTGGTGAATATCAAATAATGTACTAGGTATTGCCTAACGTTAAGCAATACCTAGTTAGGTGATGGTTTAGGAATGTTTGGTGAATACGGCTGAGAGACTCCATTCCTCTTCTTACTCGCTTAGGAATCACTTATAACATGCATACTTTAAAAAGTTTTGATTTTCAGTATACACAGATTGAAAAAATAACTTCAACAAATTTGCCCTCTCTTGTCTGTCCATAGTACTTTGATTGCCATAAAACATTGAGCTAGGAGATTAAGGTTGGACTGTTTATCATTTATATACTTCCAGAATGTCTTAGAATTCTACATTAGTTTTGCATCCAAACCTTTCATGTAATTAGAAAAACAGATATCTGAAAGTATATTACATTCTAACTGGAACTGAGAAAATTTTACGTAGTTGTCAATAGATTGCTCTGTCTTGTAAGCAAATGCGCCCGTTTTTTAGCTATAGTTAATTTGCATAAGTCCGATGAAAACCATTGGAAAAGTAGAAGTGTGGTATTTTTTTAAGAGATAAAATAGGCTATTCCAATAAATAGAAACTTGTAGAACAACCCAACTGTATCATTTATGCCAATATTGCCTAGACATTTTACCTAATCAATAGATGATAAATAAATATTTAAATCCATATAATTGCCATTTGTACAATCAGAGTAACACTCATTATATACAAGATTTCTAGACTCAGGTTCTTTTAAAGTAGTTAGGTATACTAAAATCATAACCAATATGATGCAAATCGAAATTCATATGAGGGTCAATGGCCTTAATTACAACACAACCTCTAGAATTGGAAAAAACTAAGTAAACCTAAAAATATATTGTGATCGGTTGGTATGTTATTATGCTGAAAAATTCTATTATAACTAAAACATTCAGACACATCAATTGCTGGATCACCTGCTGGACACTGGACTACTGTCCAATACTCATCATTGCATCACACCTTCAGCAGATTGTAATCACCTAACCAGTAAACATTTGTAGCTGGACATTGTTGAATCAATCCCTCAACTGTCTCACCACACAAACTGTAGATTCCACACAGGTATTATTAATTATACAGAAGACATATACTTACTCCACCCTTGTTTTTGCAATTTTCACATACCTGGATTTGATCCAAAACAACACAATAAAAGTAAAACTAGCAAAAGAACTAACTAACCCTATTGAAGCTGACAATGGGATAAGACAGGGAGATTCCGTAAGTCCTCTATTGTCCAACCTGATTATGGATAAAATAATAAAAAATGTAAAAAAGGATATGAAAAGGGAGGAAAACAACTTTAAATAATCTGCTATACAGATGACGCAATACTACTTTCTCAAAGTGAAGATGATTTACAACATATGCTGCACCAATTTAATACAACTGCCAGAAAATTTAACAGGTTAATTTCCCCAAAAAAGACAAAATGCATGGTTACAACAGCAAATTTACTAAGATGTAAATTGGAACTGGAAGATCAGATAATAGAACAAGTGATGGAGCTTAAATATCTAGGCATCACATTATATAGCTATAGAAAGCTCGAAACTCAAATGGAAGTGGCTGCCTGAATGAAACAATATGGATAAGTAAAAATATAGGAAAGAAATGAAAGGCAGAAGTTACAAGTCATCAGACCAATAATGACATACCTGGCAGAAACACGATCTGACACAGTGAGGGCAAAAAGGATGTTAGAAATGGCAGAGACGAAAAACACTTGATGTTAAAGTTAACAGTTTAGAGTTTTTAATGTAAATATAATTATAATTAATTTCCATATACTCTACTTACCTACTAAAATTTCAACCCTGTCTCCTCGAAAATGGCTCCATTCTTTTATGGGTTCTACCCAAACTTTCTTATGCATTGTTCCTGAAGCATTATCTTGTCTAAATTGAAGAGTCCATGGTCTATGAACTGTAAAGTTATACTTTTTTCTTTGTACTATTGCATGTGGTTTGTACTGAATTCCTTTAGGATTCCTCCAATAAACTTGCTCCATTGCTCTTTTTATATACCTGTCTGGTAGATTTGAAAATTGTTTTGACCATTTTCCAACTCTGGAAAAAAGGATGTCAGTAATCCTCATATTTGTTTCCCTATATTTTAATTAAATATAAACAAACTGAATAATTATTTTTTGAAATTTAATTAAGGTTAGGTACTTTTTCACTTCTTGTAATGAATTCAATTTAGGTCTTGATATTGTGGTATGCTAGTTAGTTTTTGTTCTTGCAAATTTGCAAGGTGTGTTTAACCAATAAACAGGAAGAATAAAAAAACAAAAGTTCTTCTTCTTCTTCCTTTATTGGGTAATATCCCAGGGGATAATTTAAGACAAAAGTTATATTCAATATACGTATAAAGGTGACAAGATATTTTAAGAGAATATTTTACATTGTATTATTCTACATTATTATATTCTACATTGAATACTGCATTTTTTTCTGTTATTTAAAAAAATAAAAATATTCAAATATTCTATGTGATTCACAGAAAAGAAAAGATGTTTGTGTTTGTAGTCCAATGTACTCAAATAAAAGAAGTATAAAGGTCAAGGTAAAACCACAAAACCCAAAGATTAAATTACTCATGTAGAGGTGGGCGATTATAATTTCATAGTAAGCGTTACCAAATGTGTAGTGGACTGATATATTTACTGTGAACGTAGGATTGCATCAAGATACAGAACTTAGTCCTTTTTTACAGAAACTACATGGTAACATTTCCTGCTGCTTAATGTATGTTGATTATGTAGTGCTGGTAGGAAATTCTGGAGGGGATTTAAAATAAAAATTGAAATAGCGGAGACAAGCTCTTACAGACAAATGTTATATAAAAAACTTAATAGAAAAAACGAAGTATTTTATAACGTTCGTTTAAAGAAGAGGTTAGACAGCGTTTCTCAACCTTTTACTAGTTGCGACCCAATTTTATATAATTATTTTCACCGCCATAAAGACAATCAAACGTTATCGTTATTAAAGTATATTTATTTGTTAAATTTTTTAGCCAGTCTCTCTGGATACGCCCTTGCACTGAACTTACAGTAAAACCTTAATTACCAAATTACCGAGAATAAGTAAGTTTATTGATATGTGGCAAGACCAATTCAAAACCGATCGTCTCTCTTCGCAAGAAGTTCCGAGTTCTCCTATCTCCTCCTCAGACCCAGTCGACCTTAGTCGAGTCAGTTTAGTCAGTCTAGTCAGTCCTTCTGCACCTGTTAAATTTATTGTGATTGTTTATGTTGCAGTTTGCGTGTAATAATTGCAGTTCACGGTATTAAAATATTCCAAGCAGTAGGTAAATATACTTAAATTTATACAAAATCATGGATAAATTTTTAACTAGGCGTAAGCGAGCATTCGATACTAATGAAGCATCAACAAGTGTACAGGCGAGACTGATTCCAAAAATAAAATCAAGAAAATATTCTCAAGATTACTTAAATTTTGGGTTTACATTTACTGAAGTAAATGAAGAAGAACGGCCCCTATGTATCATTTGCTCAAAAATTTTAGCAGCCAACAGCATGAAACCAAATAAACTTAAAAGATATTTGGAAACGCTTCATATAGTAAGTGCATTAATTAACCCCGAGAATTCTTCGAGTTAAAATTAAAATCACATGAAAAACAAAAATCAGTTATAAAAAAAACTTTGACTTTGAATGAAAAAGATTTACTTGCCTCTTATAAAACCTCCCATCAAATAGCTAGATGTAAAAAGCCTCACACTATTGGTGAAGAGCTTATTTTGCCAGCTGTAATTCAAATTGTAGAAATATGTTTGGAGATAATTTTGCCAAAAAATTGGAGTTTATACCTCTATCAAATGATACTGTTGCCCGTCGAATTTGTGATATAGCTCAAGATGTACAGGATCAGCTACTCGGGAAGTTGCGTGACAAGCTGTTTTCGATTCAGCTTGATGAGGCAACAGATAGCAATAAAGATGCTCATTTTATTGCCTACGTTCGATTTTGTGATGTAGGTATCATTTTTTGCAAACCAATAGAACTGAAAGCAACGTCGATCGCATTATTTACTATCTTAAACGATTATATAAATGAAGCAAAAATAGAGTGGAAGAATAGTGGAAGAAAATATGCAAAGATGGTGCTCGTGCAATGTCCGGAAAATTTCATAGTCTACAAGCGCTTGTGAAACAAAAGTCTCCAATGTCTACATGGACACACTGTATGATCCACAGAGAAGCTCTGACTTCCAAAGAAATGTCTCCTGGCCTGAATATTGTGCTAACAACGGTTATAAAAGTAGTTAATTACATAAAAATGAGACCTTTGACAACCAGAATCTTTTCTGAACTTTGTAGGGTGCATTACATTCATCAATATTATTTTATTGTGAGGCAAGATGGCTATCACGTGGGACATTTTTACAACGAGTTTTTGAATTAAGACATGAAATCGCTATTTTTCTAGAAGAAGAAAATAGACCGGAAGCCGAGATGTTTCGAGATAGTTTATTGTTGATGAAATTGAGCTACTTGGTTGACATATTCGAGAAACTCAATATTTTGAACATTCAGCTTCAAGGAGCCAATACACATATATTGAATACGAGTGATAAAGTTATTGGTTTTTGTAAAAAATTGGAATTGTGGAGCAGAAATTTAAAGCAAAAAAACCTAGAAATGTTTGCCAATGTGGATGAATGTATTAAAACTTACAAGGTTGAAGAACAACATGTGAAAGTTGTTTTTGTAACCATTGAAAATGATTTAGCGATGCTGACTAAAAATTTTAAAAGATATTTTTTTGCCGACGACAAATTAATACGTGTTACGAGTGGGTTGGGAATCCGTTCCAAATTACTCCGGAAGGGCTCTCTACTGCCGAAGAAGAAACCTTCATTGATTTCACGGCAAATGATGAAATCAAGAAACAGTTTAATAATAAATCGCTCTTTGAATTTTGGGCAGGAAAAAATGATGAGTTTTCTGCACTGAAAACCAGAGCGTTCCGTATACTATTGCCGTTTTCAACATCCTACCTTTGCGAAACAGGATTTTTGCGGTGGCTGCTTTGAAGACCAAATAGATCGCAGCTAAATATAGAAAAAGAACTGAGAACGTCTATTTCAAATATTACACCTCGTTTCGATAAACTTTGCTCT